AATGCCTTAAAAGCCCCACCTCTGAAGCTTGCTGCATTTTTTTTTAGGTTTTATTTTTTATTTTTATTTTTTTTAATTAATGAATTAATTAATTTTTTGCATTGCAATTCTTAATACACCATTATACAATAATTTATCATATCTCTGATTATATATAAGGTATATTGACACCAAATTCACACATGGAAACTTGCTGCATTTTGAGACCATACTTTGAACACATGAACCTTTGGGGGGACATTCGGGCTTGAAATCATAAAAGTGTGAAAACAACTCTGACCTTGTAGACACAAGAAAGCTGCCATGGGGAACAGAGCTTGGGCCTTGAAGTGCTCCATCTCTCCCTGGAGCCAGCCACCTACTTCACCTAGGCATCAGGCCAGCTCTGGCAGGAGATTGGATCAAGGCTATTTGCATGTCTGTTTTCAGGACATTAAAGTTTGGCCTCCCAAAAAAAAAGGGAAAGCAAGCAAACCAAACAAGCAAAAAAACTAACCTGGAAAAAAAAAAAGAAGAACAAAGTTTTTCTTTCAATAAGTACAAATTCTATTTTCTGTAAAGTGTGATAAAAACACCTCCAGAAAATATACATGTTTTGATGAAGGGTTGAAGTTCTCCTTTTTTGTGATTCAAGGAATGATGACAAAAACAGAAAGACTTTATTATATTGTTAAGCGTAGCACTGGGTGTTATCATTTATATGTTGTACCATTTGAGCCCCAAAACACTCTGTGAAATGGACTCTAAAGCTGGAGATGTCAGCCTGACCCAATTTCTCATGGCCAGTAAGTGACAAAGCTCAACTTCATAATCCAAAGCCATGAGTCAAAGTGTGTGGAAATACCCAGAAATGTTAGACAGTGCTGGCAATTCTGCATTGAAACTCTTCTATAAATAGCTCCCTGATTATTTCTGATTCTCATTGACTTAGTATAATGTAAGCCATTCAGCAATATGATACTGATAAATATTTCCTTTTCAAAACATTACACAAATAATACATGATTTCCTCCCTCTTTCTACCCTGTAGGAGAAGTAGGAAAAAAACAAGATAATAGGAATTTGCCTCCAAGCTACAATACCTTCCTATCCTCTTGGTAATCACTGAAGAGAGTCCCTAGTTACTAAGGAGACCATAACAGAATCCATTAGGTTCCAGTACACTTGGGTTGCCTGGCTAGCGAACGCCAAAATAGCAAAGGAAAATATTATCATTGCTGAAATCATTTGATGTCTATGACTAATAAAAAACATGTTGGCAAATTGAATTTTTTGAACTGCCCAAAGGGCTTGGTAAAGACTATGAATTAATAGCACACAGCATTCTGTCTAGAGAAGAAAAAGAAATTTTTTTTAAAAAAAAGCAAAATATTAAACCATTTCTTAAAAAAAATATCTGAACAATCAAAAGGTCCTCACAGAAACAAACATTAGGCAACCACATCTAGGTCTCTTATTAAATTTTTTATTTAAATTTAATTTTCTGACCCCTCCTTTTCCTATAGCTAAATAATAAATTCTGTGTATTCTGAGTCACATTATTCTTGAATAGTAAGAGACCCACAGGCCTTCTTATCCAATTTCTCAAAAATACCGGAATTATCTTTAAAGTGTCCCTGACTACTGTACCAACCGTCAAGGCTTTGAAGGCAGAAGTTTCCATTCACATGTGTGCTGTGCCCCTTGAGGGCCTAGTGGAAGACAGAAGTAGAAGAATTGGGGTTGAGCCAACTTCCAACGACCTCTTCACTCCAGGTCTTGGGCTTGCCTGAAGATGTTCATCAGTGTCCTCTGCTTGACCATTCCAGAGCAGCAGGTCTCTGCCAGGATCCATCCTGTCTTGTTATGGCTATGGCTCTGATTTTTGGAGGCTGCGTTCTCATGTTGTGCCAAAATCCTCTCTCCTCCTGTTTTCTACCTATTGTTCTCTGTGGTATCTCTAGAACAACACTGCTTGACTCAACTTCCTCTCCTCCTAAATAGTCCCTTAGATAACTGAAGTCAACTGTCATGATTGCCTGGTGTACTCTTTTCTCCAAAAGTTGTTTCCCTATTAGATCATAAGGCAAGCATACAAATAGAATTTGAAGAGACAGAACACATAATTATCATTAAAAAAAGACAAAAAGGTAGTCTGAAATTTTGATTTTTTTTTTTGGTAGGGGGGCGGATACCTTGGATTGAACTCAGGGGTACTCAACTACTGAGCCATAACCCCAATCCTAATTTGTATATATATATATATTTTAATTTAGAGACAGGGTCTCACAGTTGCTTAGTGCTTTGCCATTGCTGAGGCTGGCTTTGAACTCAAGATCCTCCTGTCTCAGCCTCAGGAGCCCTAATTAGGATTATAGGCATGCACCACCGTGCCTAGCATGAAAATTTGATATTTTTTTAAGTTAAAATTCTAAAATAAAAAGTTGAAGGACTGGAGGTATAGCTGAGTGGTAGAATGCATGTTTTGCATACATGAGGCTATGAGTTCATTCACTAGCACCAAAAAACAAAAACAATCAAACAAAAAAAGTTGAAATTCTCAATTGGTATTGAAAAGTAATGTATCTGTACTCTGGGTTCCTGAATTCTGTCAAGTCATCCTGTCAAAATGGAAACAAAGACTTTTTCCTTAGTTATAGACATCATGCCAGTTCCTAGTAACATCCCACCAATTCTCACCAAAGCTGCATTTAAAAAAAAAATACTATTAATGCCTACTTTACCTGCATATAAATACTTATGACAAGATTTGAAAACGAATATCATCTATCAAGAATTAAAGAAGGGATGATGTAAAGAAAATAGATATTTAATTCTTCTCTCCATGCCATATCTTATTATGAAAAACTTTAAGCAGGCAGATATGTTGATTTTATAGCAAACACCCATATATTCAACAAGTAGAGTCTACAATGAACATTGCACTATCTCCAATATCTCTCAAATTTGTACCTTTCTCTGTCTGTCCATCAACCCACCCTACATTTTTATACATTTCAATATCACTTGTTTGCAGCAGAATACTTTATCCTCACACACCAACATGCACGTTGTTATCAATTCTTTTTTGAAACGTTTGGTTCATGTTCCCTTCTGAATCCCCTTTACCATACTTTATTTTATTCCCTCCCTTTCCTCAGTTTTCATTTTTGTGTTCTTCTTCCCACTTTCTGTCCCCAAGATCTAAGAGACAAAAGAAAGATGTAAAATTCTTGAATGTCTAATATTCTTAGAATCGCATCAGGGAAGATCACTAATGACCAGCCAGAGTCTCATAGCTTTTAGAGTTGCAGGCATGGGATGGATGAGGACCTCAGGAGCAGGCTAATCAGAGAGGGATTAGCATGAGAATTTAATAATTTACTATGTGAAGCACAGCTATTAAATGCCCAGGCATATTTCCTCATCAACCTAGTCTCTCTTTGAACTAATGGCCATGGAAGGTCAATTATGAAGGCTTTTAGTAACCAGAGACTCAGAGGAGGGGAACTCAAAGGTCCTGGTGGTCTGGAAGAAGAGACCTCATCAGCTGATGTTTCAACAGCTGGTTTCATGATGAAATGAGGATGGGGACACTAACTACCACTGTAGAACTTCTGGAAAGACCTGCCACTGGGGTCATGGCTAGTGAGTGCACTTCTAACCTGGACTGTATGGGTGAACCCTGTCAAATTCTACCCTTCCAACTTCCTTCAAAAACATCCGTTGAGCCCCATTCCTTTGAGGAACACATTCTCTTTTAACCCTGTTTATGGCATTAGTTAAGATTTAGTGAAGTCCTGACCATCCTGTGTTGGGTCTGGAGGAAACCCTGTCTTTTTGTTTTGGTTTGGTTTTTCGGTTTGTGTGTGTGTTTGTTTGTGTGGTGCTGAAGATGAACCCAGGGCCTCACACAGGCCAGAAAAAGCGCTCTACCACTCAGCTACATCCCCAGCTCGACAACCTGTCCTTAAAATGTGAAGTCTGTGTCTATCTAATTCCACCTTTGCAAATCAATTTTACTGGCTTTATTCTCTAATATGAGAGTGATTATCTGCCTTCTGAGCACTCTGTTCAGAGGCCAGGAAAGAAGCGCTCTTCTATAGTGAGAAAACCATTAATTTCTCTATCTCAAGATTTATGTCTGACAAGCAATGTTCGTTGTTCATTCTCTGGACTTCCTAATTAACAGCCCACAAAGACTTGGCAAGGTGAGATCCCCAGTGAAAAGGCAGCTGCCCAAAAGCAACACAAATGTACAAATGCAACACTTGTCACAACAGACAGCTTCTCCAATGTTGCAGATCAATCTAACTTTGACAAATCAAACCTACTTTGAAATCCATGAAAGGAGCTCTCTAGTCATAAAATCTCAAGGTGAATCCTTTGGTTATATAACCACTTCTTAATGTAGTTCTCCCAAAGGTTCGGACTTAAAAATCAGTTTTAGAGCAAGGCTTTCCTATCCTCTACTGCTTAAAAACAATTCTTACCCTTAACCACGTTCCATGTACAGATAACATAGGAAACGCCATCACTGCATAGTAGCACCATATGCTTTACAGTTTATTTAAAAATAACATTCAACTGTTGCAGAAAACATGACTCAGAACAAGGCTCTGGTTATTTCACAAGAATCTGTGACAGATTGGGTGCAGGGGGAACCTGATACTTTTAGGTATTAGCACCTCAGTGGTAAATGTTAACTGGTAACTTTAAGTTCTTCTCTAATTGCCTCTATTATAAGCAACCTATCCTCAGATCCAGATTAAAACTCTTTCCAGAGGGTGAAAGGTCCCATAATGTAGAGAGTAGACTTTTATTGCTGGGAACTCAAAGATTCTGACAGTAGCATATGTGCCTTGTGTCACAGACCTCAAGCAGTACTCAATCTACACAAACAGGGAGCATTTCATCTAAGCAGGGCTTCAAAGGCAATGTTTGTTCATACACCATTAGTTTCTTTGATTCCTCTGATGCATCTGTCTCTAGTGATGGAAACTCTTTTTTTTTTTTTTAAGAAACTAAAGCACAAAAAGAAAATGAAAAAACTAAAAACTGATTTGGCAACAGCTAAGCAAGAGGCTGCCTTCACAATCATGGAACTCAATGAGAAGATAAAGATGCTCTATGAAGGAAAGCCAGCCCCTAGAGGTCAGTATTACCACGTGACAATTGCACCCTGGCCCCTCATCTTGGGTGATGCCTATGGTTTCATTGGCAACCAAGCAAAAAGCAAGGCCACTGTGCCTGGCAGCGTCCTGGCTCAGCAGCATACTGGCCTGGCCTGACCTCTGTTAGGAATGAACAGAGATGGCACGTGAGCTACTAACTCTGGGCTCGGTTTGCTTTCACTTTAGAGAGGCAGAGAATGAAGAAGCTGCTCATTAAGGGGAAGTCTCTGAAAATGAACAACTGGCCTGAAATAGATCTGTGAAGTGTCATTGGATGAGCTGGGTGACTGTGAGGAAAGGGCAGTACCTAAGAAGGCAGACTGACACCTTGAGGAACAGGGCTCTGGAGTAGGGCCAGGAGCCTGTCTGAGCGCACAGGCTGGAAGGGAGGAGAGTCTTTTTTAACAGCAGACAAATGAAGCAGAAAACCAGCAGGGAAGATTGGTTAGGGTGAAATCTGGATAGTTTAAATTTTTTTTTTTTTTGAATAGCAACATTAGTTTCAATTTTAAAAAAATACTACTTCTACTAAGAGGCTATAAATACACATTAGGGGAAAAACTCAGGTTATCATTACTAATAATAGGAGTTAACATTTCACACTATGTGCCAGGCATTTTGCTAAGCAAGATGTATAAATATCTATTTAATTCTCAGAATAATTTCTGAGGTGAGTGTACTCATGGATTCCACCAGAATAAGTCGAGGCTCAGATATATTCATTAACTTGCCCAGGTTAGACCCAGACAGGCAATACTTGAGTAGTCAGCACCAAAGCAGTGACTTTTCCTACACCAGGGGAGGTTTCCAGCTTTGATAGGCTGAAGACATTTTGTCTGCTATGTAGCAGCAATAACAAACTTAGCTTCTGCCTGTTGATCTCCTGCAAAGACTTGGTTCCCTAAAATAAATGTCTTCCTTTGAAGTGTGCCACTCTTGCAAAGCCAGGAACATATCATTGTTCTTACTCTGGCTTCCTTTATTACTCATAAATAATTCTGGAAAAAGAGGAGCAACTTGGAAACAAGTGGAGGAGGAAGAAGTAGGCCATGTGGTGGCTTCAGAAAGGGGACACTCCCAGAATCCTGACCACATGGTGAAACTTCACATGCAAACTTGGTTTGTATTTTCAATTTCCAGTAGCACTTTCCCAGGGTTCAAATGGCATCTAATACTGTCACCTTGAAACACCTGCCAAAGGTCATTTTTTTTCTTTCTTTCCTTTTCAATTTTTTCTTTTAACAAAATAATATAAAAACATTTTATAATGTTGCCTTTACAACCATGAAACCTAAACAAATAAAAACCCACTAGAAAATGTTATCCATTTAAAGATCTAAGTTATCCACAGGCTAGATTTTCCATTGGTTGCTTGGGGAGAAGCTGATGACAATCATGGAACACATTGGAGGTAGTTCTCCAGCTTATTTGAGAGAAGCTTTTGACTTCTCAACTCCATGTTAAACTTAGTGCAAAAAATATTATTGCAGGGCATCTAATTCTAATTACACTTATTTAGGCAAAAATATCATTCATTGTCTAGTGCCATTTGGTCTCTCAGGTATTTGAATAAGTCAAAATTTAAATGATACTAACATGTAAATGGTTTGGGGGAGGCAGAAAATAATAAATCCCATCTCTCTTAGATCACTTTTTTCTCAGTATTTTTATTTAAAAACAAAACTACTAGTAAGGGGGTGGTTATGACATACTTATAAATGGATATAAATAAAATTAAATCTAAACAGTTATTCCAAGGTCCATTGGATCAAAATGGTGCCCTTCCTTTTGGAGCTATTGCTGCTTCTCTTACTGATGGATAAACTGAGTCATTGCACTGACAAGGAGTACTAATATCTTAAATCAAATATTTTTCACATTTTTACTCTCCTTTCAGCCCTGTGCAACCTCACCTTGAATTCAATAGTCCAAGAGATTATCAAGGTCATTATGGCCCTAGAGTGATATTAATTGGACATCTCAGACACCTTGGTCACCTTGCCCTTCCTCTCAATTCACTTCAAAATAAAGCCTCTAACACTTAAGGTAAATAACCCTTATTTACCCTAGAACAATACAGGCCAACTCACCCACACACAAATATTTCTGGAACTAAAACACCATCTCTCCCTTAGTTATTTTGTGTCCTTTTATAAAATGTTTGTTCTGGGTTCTCAGACTCTGTTTGCAAAGGCCAGGTGCCCCAGTCATAATAGCTTAAGGAGAAAGGATGATTTATAGGCACAAGTAAGCAAACCAAGAAAGGGCATGCTATTCGCTTCAGAGTCCTGCAGATTCAGGGTGTTGGATACCATCAGGACATGGTGTGTCACTCATCTCTTCATGTCTCTACACTGAGACTTGATTTTGTTAAGCTAGATGTTGGAAGAGACCAGAAAGATGACTTTAAAAAGCTATGGGCTGCACTTCTTTCTTATCACCTCTTTTCCAGAGAAGAAAGAAAACATTTTCCCACCAGCTCTAGTTAGAAAAGTACAAGAAAGAACTCTGTCTGGCTAGGGTTGGGTATTCATCCTGGGATAGAAACCAAATTTTGTGATCAGGGATGGGGAACGTTGTTGGACAAGCGTTGGTCATGCATCCCGTACTGGGTGGCAGGGTAGAGAAAAAGCAAGGGTGGGAAAGAGAATGTTCTGAGTGGCCCCTCACACCAGAAGCATAGAACTGGATGACAGAAAACCACTTCCTTAAAGGAAGAAAAATCCCATAACCAAGAAGAAGAAAAACGAAAGCCATGCTTCCAATGCATGGTCAGCTAGCCAACAAGTTAAAACTAAAAGTAATAGTAATGAATCACCCATCACAAGGGAACTAGCACTTTAAAAGTAAATTTCTTGTCAATGAACAAAAGGCCTTCAGCATCCAAGAAATAAATCTCTAGTGGTATAATTTTAGACCCCAAAATAGAAGACTGTGAGCCATTTGGGAAAGAGAGACCCCTTTTGGCCTCCCTCAAGTGATATCATGGTCAACTATTTTGAAGGCCTGGCTTATTATAACAAATTGCAAGAAGGCGAAAAAAAAAACAACATTGATTATAACTCATATGTCATGTTAATCTGGATTAACAGTTAATTCTCTATTATAGTTATGATCTGATGTTTGCAATTCTAACAACCAAATTCATGAAATATTTCCAAATAAATTAGAATCCTCTTTTGCCCAAATGTGCAATTTTTCCATATTTGATTCATTTTCTAAACAGTTTATAGGTTGCCGTTCATCTCTTCTAATCAGAGGAATGTTTCAGAATCTCAGGAATATTTTTAAGCATATTCATGTTCAAATTGATAAAGGAGCCAGCTAGCCAGTTTTTTAAAAACATAAACACAGTAAATTAGTTATGTGCTTAAATTACTTCCAAGAAAATAAATTATTTAAATCCATGGAAAATTTAGCTGAGAAGAAAAACACCTTTATTATAAAACTAAGGCAACAGGAAACTTACAGCCTGAGTGTTGTTTGTTGATTTTACTTTGTGTGAATAATCACAACTCAAGGGAGATTCCTCCTGTCATTTCCAAAGTCTGCACCTAAAGTGTTTACAGCTTTATTTACTAGCAGAAATCAATGAAATACCTATTGCACTCCTTTTTGGAGGGTTGCAGAGGCTTAACAGGGATTGAACCCAGGGGCGCTTAACTACTGAGCCACATTCCCACCCACACAGCTTTTTTTTTTTTTTTGCAACAGGTTCTCACTAGTTGCTTAGAGCCTCCTTGAGTTGCTGAGACTGGCTTTGAACTTGCAATCCTTCTGGTTCAGCCTCCCTAGCTGCTGGGATTACAGGCATGTGCCACTGCACCCAGCTTGCACTTCTTTTTGAAGTCTGAGTCTACCTTTTGATATATATCAGTACACAGGAAACTAACGTTAAGTCTCAGGACTAATTCTGCTTCCTTTTGTTTAGCAGAACAAAGTCACTTAGAAAAAGGCTTTACTAGTCCTGCTGTTGATGCATGAGTAGTCTTGTTCTACTGCGATCTCCTTCCTATCTTTGATCAGAATATAGATTTCAAGTTACTATTTAAGGAAATACACCCCTCAGGATTTTGTTCTCTTTTAATTTTTTAATTCTTTTAATATGGATCAAATAATATTTTAATATACCAAATAAAGAATCTAGCCCCCACTTGCCTGTTTCCATTGTCCTAATAAAAGTCATGTCAACTCTTCAGTCATCTCTTGGTTTTACTCCCATTAAGGAAACAAGGCCCAGGTAACCCTGTTATGTCCCAGGGCAAATGCACCTATGACTCAATGTCCAAATAGTGCCAACCATGCTCTGGGCTGGGGGAGAGGGGCAGCTTGTAATAGTGATCTTCAGTGACATAAGAGTGCTTTTAAACACTAGACAACTTACCCCATTAATTTTAAGAATCTATTACTTTCCTAGATACTTTAGAAAGTCAGGTGATATCTTTTTGCCATCACGCCAAAGCTAACTCTAAACAATATTTTAAAGGGTATTTTTTTTACCATGATGCTCACTCTTAGGCACTTGGCCCAAGCCTTCTCTCCCTTGAGTATCCTATCTACCTCTCTCCTCCAAACTTCTTCCAGACCAAAGCTTCTGTTGCAAATAGGTGTTAAGGAAATGGAGATTTGGGGGTGATGAAAATATCCTGGAACTAGATATGGTAATGGTTGCTCAACATCGTTAATACAGAAAACCACTTTTAAACAATTAAAATTGTGAACTCTGAGATGTGAATTTTAATCTCAATTATAAACAAACCAACAGTGATTAAAACAAATTCTAAGATGTAATGACTAACCACCCTGTCACTTGTATATTTTAATGACTACGCAGTGTATTATTTTTAAGTAATGGCTTTTTTTTTTTTTTTTTGTACCAGGGATTGAACCCAAAGCCATTCAACCACTGAGCCACTTCCCAGCCCTTTTATTTTTTATTTAGAGACAGGTTCTCACTAAGTTCCTTAGCTCTTCACTAAG